TTTTTTTTTTTTCAACGTTTATTTATTTTTGGGACAGAGAGAGACAGAGCATGAACGGGGGAGGGGCAGAGAGAGAGGGAGACACAGAATCGGAAACAGGCTCCAGGCTCTGAGCCATCAGCCCAGAGCCTGACGTGGGGCTCGAACTCACGGACCGCGAGATCGTGACCTGGCTGAAGTCGGACGCTTAACCGACTGCGCCACCCAGGCGCCCCGCAAGAAGCATTTTCAATAACCCTGGTATCAGGGCCTAGAAGGTTCAGAAGCAAGGATTTGGTTTTAAGACATATACTGGAGATAGAACTAATAGAACACAATGACAAATGAACAAATGTAAAAGTGAAGAATGGGCAGTTGAAGAGGACTCTCCAGTTGCCAGCTTGAATGGCTCAGTAGAACTACTCAGCAAGGTGAGAAACAGATGAGGAGGAATCTTCTAGGAAAGATTATTAGCTCTGGACATGGTATGTTTGAATGTCTATTGGGCAATGTAACTGTGGAGAGAGATCACTCTGGAAGTGGACTTGGCAGTGGTCAAGGTAAAGGTGTCTACGGGTGTGAATGAATGTATCAGGTTAAAAGAGGATGGAAGTAAGAACCTTGAGCAACATAGCACTTCAGGGACTGGTAAAGAGAGCCAGGAAGGAGACCAAGTTCTCTGTCTCTATATCCAGACTCCTCCATTCCCCAAGAGAAAGAAGACATTCTTCTGTCCCAAGAGTCACATCTCCACTGCTATGCTGTATTCCATTCCGTTGAGCTCCTTCAGGGCTTACCGTACTAACTCCTTCTCTCTTAGATCTTCAACCTTTTCTCCTTCCCATTAGCCTACATGCATTGAGAATCTTCCCTGTTTTGAAACATGAGGCCCCTTCCTGGATCACACTTCCTCAGCTTTCACTCTGTCTCCCTCCCTTTCTAAATTCTTGTAAAGATGGTCTAACTACACTCACCCTACTTCCTCATCTCCCAATCAGTTGGCCCAAAGCAGCCTGGCTTCCGCCTCTACCACTTCTTCCAAACTGCTAACTATGTGGTCACCAATCACCTGCTGATTGTAGAGTTCTAGGAGTACCTTTTAGATCTTGTTCAACTTCTTTGGGGTATAAAACATTCTTGTAACTCTCTTCCCTTGGCTTTCAGGGCACCACTGCCCTCATTTGGTGTCCCACTTCTCTATTTTGCTCCTGAACAGTGTTCTGCCTTTTGGTCCTTTTCTCTCCTCACTCCCATACTTTTCTTTTCCACCCCCTTCTACTATCCTCAACTGTTAGCCCTGACCCTCTGAGGGCTACCCTATTGGACATTTTTTCGACTTAAATCTTTTGGGAATAAGGTGGATAAGGAAGTACATAAATAGATTGGTGTCTTCTAACAGGCAACAAAATCCAACCTGTCTCAAACTGTACTCTCTTCTCCTACATTCCCTCTGACTTCCTCCCTCACAATCCTCCTCCATCTGTCGTTTCAATCTTGTTTAATGCCACCTAAGAAAAAAATTTAACAAATCATCACATTGTACACCTTAAATTTACACACTGTCATACGTGAATTATGGCTCAGTAATTGTGGGGGAGAAAGATTAAAAAAAGAAAAACAAAGAAAAAAATGGAGAATCACCTTGGCATGACCCTATTCCCTTAGTTTTACAAAGTCTCTAGGATCTGCCCCCTCCTTCCCATTTGCACTGTCATTCGCCCTTACCTCAGGCCCTTAAAACTCCTAGAGAACAATACCATCCTAACTGGTTCTTTCCCCTTCAATCCACCTTCCATATTGTAACTAGACCAAGTTTTGTGGAAGATGAATCAGATCCTGCTATTAATGAATTTAATTGCTCAACAGGTTCCCCTACGATAAGAAAACAAACTAAATATAGGACTCTTCCTTAACTAACCTCTGCCGGCTTTCTTGACCTCATCTTTAGCCCTTACATACTGTGACCCTGTGCTCTAGCCACACTGAGGTTCTTGAGGTTCCAACACACTATGCTGTTCCATCTGAATGCAGGAGTCCCCATTTCCCTTTCCCGTCCCAGGCTAACACTAACTCTCAGAAGGCTTCTATGCCAAGCACCCTAATATCACCTCCGCTGTGGTCAGCAAGTGGCCACCCATCCTGAGTGCTACAGACGCAATCCCGACCTATCTCCACTGGCAGACTTTTTACACTGTAGGACAAACTGTATATAGCCCATGGTCATAAAGAGACAACGAGCTCATCAATGGGCAACTCCGGGTCCCGTTTTCTCTTCAAATAACACCTTTACCAAATAACACATGTTCAATAAGTGTGTTTTGAACTGCAAGTCATTTCTCCGTGGGGGAGAGAAAATCTTTTTAAGGGTCTCCGGAATTGCAGCAGCACGTGGCTACTAATCACGGCCAAATGGGTCGCGCGCACCACCAACCCCAACCCCCAGGCGGCGCACGTGTGGCTCCGCAGTTCGGAAGCGCGCCGGCGCTCGCCCGGGATTCACCGCCTCCCAGAAGCAGGCCTTTCTCGGGGCGGTGCCTCTCGTCCCCAGTGCAGGCTCCCAGCCGCCCGGCAGCGCAGCGTCCTGAAGGGCGGACCCGGCAGGCGCCACCCTTGAAGTGCGGAACCTGCCAAGGCGGAGGTCCGGACCCAGGGGTACCTGATAGGAGCCGCCGGTCAGGGACAGCTCCGCTAGGACCGCTCGGCCATTAGCAATACAGCTGTAGGTGATCGTCATGGCGGGCGGGCCAGTTAAAAAAAAACCTCCCGCCTCACCTAACCGCCCGACACAGCCTCGGGGCCGTACCTGGGGCGGGGATCCGGGCGGTGCTTGCGCAGGCGCGAGGAGCGATCGATTGGCGAGGAGGGTGGGGGGCCGTCCCTGGTCTGGGCAGAGCCTATGAGGAGACGGGGGCGGGGTTTCGTAAAAAGCGGGCTTTGGGTGAGTGAAAAGTTTCTCCTTCGTCGTTATCCTCAACATCTTTTGGTGAGAGCAATTTTACTTCACAGTACTTACCTACCTATGATTCATTCACAGTCTACGACGTGTAAAGTATAGCCCTTGACTTAAAATACACCAACTCAGCAAGTATTTGTTGAAACCCCACAGTGCAGGCCCTGGCCCCTGGCGTTGGGAGTTCGTATTCTGCAAGTGGTTACAGAGGCACAGGCAGGCAGACGCCAATCTCAAGTGGCATGTGTGTGCCGCGGAGGAAAGATAAACTGAGTTGCAGAAGCTGGAGTGGAGGCAGCTAATTGTCCTTGGCAGAGGGAGCAAAGCTTCCAGTGTCCTTCTGATTTAGGGGGGGTTGATATTCTCTAAGTGGGGAAGGACAGGACAGTTAACAGAGGGAACTGCTTCTGTCAAGGGTTTAGAGTGGCACGTGGGTTTAGGGAATGCATAGGAGTGAGTGTGGTAGGGTTGGGTAGGAGGTGAGAGGGTAGGAGTGGTAGAATGACTTGTTATCCTAGATCTTGAGTTCCCTGAAAAGACTTTTTTAAAATATAAGCTTAAGAGAAGGTCATATATTTTCATTAGCAGGCTGTCGTGGTGGAGTGAAAAGAAGTTAGAGAAACTTGGATTAAATATAGGCATTGTTCCTGCTCCCACCTCCTGTCATTTGGAGGACCGGGGAACTCTTGATCTTGGGGTCATGAGTTTGAGTCCCACGTGGGGTGTAGAGATTACTTAAGTAAAAAAAAAAAAAAAAAAAGTTAAAATGGGCATTGTTATTTACTCTGTGCCTTTATTGTAACTTAGCCTTTCTGAGACTCAGTTTCCTAATCTATAAAATGGGGAAAGTCATCAAGTTTAAGTAATTAGGCAAAATACTCAGCATACCATAGATAAGCAATTGCACCCTTAGTGTGATAAATACATTAATGAGAATTACTTTCTTGCTCCCAGTGGTATAACTTTAAAGGAAAAGCAATCGATGTCCTTCTGGGGTGATTGGCAGAGGTGAAGACAGGTAATCAATTGAGCTTATTTTAACCCAGTGCAGTCAGATTGGATTTGACAAGGAGGTAGCAAAACTTGTCTGGACTGTGGCTCCTGAGGAAAATGCTTTGTTGAATCATATATACTCCTATATAAAGGAAATCTTGAATCAGTGTGTCTTATCAGCTTAGAGAGAATGTCTTGTGTTACAGGTGGGGGTCACTGAATTAAAAGCATTGGTCACATTATTTGTATGTAGGAACATGAAATACATTAATTCTGAGGTAATCATTGGAATATTTTTTTTGTTTTTTAAGATTTTATTGTTAAGCCATCTCCACACCTACCAACATGGGGCTAGACCTCACAAGGATCGCTTGCTCTACCAACTGAACCAGTCAGGTGCCCCTCGTTGGAATATTCTTGCTTACAGTGAAAATAAGCTGAATAAACTTGGCGAAATTGCAGCACCCCTTGTGTTTGGTAAGTGGTGGAGCCAAAAGAGACTGGGCAATGAAGTCATGAGCTGTAGTAATGACAACATGCATCTGGTAGTTGAAAGGGTGTGTATGGGGCCTTCCTCATCTCAGTCTTACCTTGTCGCATTGAAACAATCCTGTAAAGCAGGTGTGATGGGTTCAGTTTGCACAAGCCACAAATTCAGGCCCACAGAAATGCAAAATGTAAATTATAATACAACTCTATCTTTCTTTGAGCCCCATTTTACCTGAAATCTGAGGCTTAATCTAGTCAATGCCAGGTTTCCTCAGTCAACTCCAGATTTACTTCTTCCCTTCTTTCTATCCAGGGTAGGGGCGGCATCTGTGTGTGTGTGAGGGCCCTGGTGGTGGGGGAGACCTGAGTCGTGATAGTCATCTCTTTAAGGTGGCTCCTGCTGCTAACGTTTGTTTTCTGTCTCGGGTCATCAGTTCACACACTGCATTGGGAAACTCAAGGCACCTTCAGCCACTCTGGTTGTCTCTCAGCCACTTTTGTAGCCCTCCTGGGGTGAGGAAAACTTTCCCCTGCTCCCTCATGCCAT